CCCTAAACTCTGTAAACCCTAAACTAAGGTGGAATGGTTCGGGATTTGGCTCTAGAATCCTGCACCAGAAAGCGAGCTCATGTTTTAGGGTTTTAGGATTCCAAATGCAGTTTTACACAGCCCTCAAACGCCCTGTAAACTCCGATCCGGGACCCAAACCCTAAACTCCAACCTCTAAACCCGAAGCCCTAAATCTATAAGCTAAACCCAATCAGGAGGAGGAGCCCAAGAAGAAAAAGAAGAAGCACAAGAAGAAGTCGGAGGATTCCGAGGCGAGGCGAAGCCTCGACGTGGCTTCAAAGTTTCGGAGTTCGCATTGACCAAAACTTGCCTCCCTAGACGGGAATATATAAGAAAATCATAATGCCGAACCCGGAAACGGTAGTTCCCCGGTACCTAATTCTTGAGGGTTAGGCGTAGATTTTTCGTGTTTTGGCTTTATGGTTTAGGGTTTGAGGTGCACGGCTGGGTTTGGCATTAGCTTCAGGGTTTGAAGTAGATGCTTTTGGTTTGTGATGATGGCAACGTGCTCTTGGCTGAGTGTGCGAGTGCAGATGGCGTCTCTTCCTTGCTCTTTGAGGGTGGGGTGATTCATGATACCCATGAGAGATCATCGCCATAACGGTACCGCAGCACGCCTTGTAGGGATACGGTAGGTTCAAGTTTCGGGCGGCCGGATGCTAGGCTACCTCACTAAAGTTGAAGCTGAAGCCTTGAAACACCGCGGTAGAGCCGACAAGCCTGTATTACACAGGTCTTCTCCCCTGAAGCCCGCATCAGTCCTCAGGTATCCTAAGATCCCTTTGGCCTCACTGTTGTGTAGATGTGCAGCCAAAGCTTCGAGGAGTGTGCACGGGGTGGTTGAAGCCATTCAAAACCCTAAACTCTAAACCCTAAACCCTAAACCCTAAACCCTAAACCCTAAACCCTAAACCCTAAACCCTAAACCCTAAACCCTAAACCCTAAACCCTAAACCCTAACCCTAACCCTAACCAAAACACCCTGAAGGCAAGCAAACAGCCTTGGACTCCCAGACTCCGAAGCCCCCGCAGGAAGAGGAGGAGACAAAGAAGAAGAAAAAGAAAGAGAAGAAGAAGTCGGAAGATTCAGAGGCCATTTAGGGTTTAGGGTTTGGGCTGCAGGGGAAAGGGTTTAGGGTTTGGGCTGTAGGGTTCAGTGGGTTGGGCCAACCGTTCAGCCTCATCAGCTCCTGATAATCGAAGTACCTGGGTTTGAATGAAAGTCATAGCTCCTAGGCTCGAATAAACGCAGAGATGTTTCGGAGGCGGGGCTGTTCTGCTTGAAGTCTACCTACAATATCCATTGTAGCTCCTTTTGGGGGTTAACGTACAGGATCCTTGATATAGACTTGGTTAAGCTTTAAAAAGGAACTACGGTGCAAACTATAGGTAAACTCTCAACCCCAAAACCCCAAACCCCTCACATCATTGTCCGACTGCAGTGAGCCGGAACGGTTTACGACCTCGTTGGAGTCAGGATTCCAGGCCTAGGTTGGCCTAGGTTGAACAACTTTGGGCAGGAAAGGTTCATGGTTTTGCGGTTTTGGGTTTAGTTTTCCTTCGAAGACGCCTCCGCCTCAGCCTTCACGAAGCAGCAGGTTTTCCCCCTTGACCGCAAGCCCGATTTCTCAACACCAAGAACCAAACATGAGAACGCCCAACTCGGAATGCGATACAAGCACCTGCGAAGAAGGCACTTCTGAAGACCCCTAAACCCCAAACCCCTAAACCTAAACCCCTGGCCAGCCGGCCCCCCCGGGCATCCCCACCCAACCGCACTGTGTGGCACCTAAATCGTCCAGCGCCAGGAGGAGGAAGAAGTGAAGAAGAAAGATGATGAGAAGGTTGCCTGAGGGATTTTCCTAAACCCGAAGCCCATAAACCCTAAACCCATAAACCCTAAAGCCTAAGCCCATCAAACCCTAAATCCCAAATCATAAACCCGGGGTTGAGGAGTTCAGAACTCAAACACCATGTGCCATGGCATAGTGCCATAGCACATGGTGTTGTTCCTACAGACAAAAGCTATTTCGGGTTTGTCACAACAGCCCTCAAACGTAGAATTTGGTATTTTGCTCAACCAGCTGCTCGGTAAGCGCTCCGAACATGTGCGACATGCTGAGACATGTCTCAATCCCTGAATCCGAAACACAAATCCGCGAGCCCTAAACCCGAAACCCAAATCCGTGAGCGCTGAACCCTCGTCCCTAAAGCTGAACAGCTAATCATTATAATCGCAACTTATAGGGGCTGGGCCGTAACGTGTAGCCCTTCTGGAGAGAAAGAGCCCTGCCGCCATTACGTAGGTTACTACAGGGGCCTTTAAAGATTACCTATACTATTTTGGGGGCTCCTTATTATAACTAAAGTATTTTTTGTAAGACCTATATAACAAGGAACTAACGGAGGGGTTATATAGGTTTAAGGTATAGCATATGATACATGAACCTGTCAAGGCCTAAGGAGTTCTTATAGGAACATTGGCGCCAAAGCAGATTATACTTGTTGGACATACCTGGACAGATGTCATGAGACAGTTCTGCACCCTTGCTCTCTAATCCTAGACCCTAAACCCTAAACCGTCTCTGTCTTACAGAATTCATTTCTTGTCATTATCGAATCCTCACAGAGTCTCGATCGGATCTTTAACCTGGGCTTACACCAACCCTCAACCCTAAATCCTAAACCCGTAAGCCCTGAACTCGAGCTTTCCCTCACGCAGTATATAGTGTATTTCGCCGAGATATACCCATGCAGGAACCTCTTTCCGGCGGATGTTCAGGCGGTATGGGCACCTACTGTAAACCCCAAAAAGTTGGAAACCGGATTAAGGACAAATAGTGCTGGCATTCCCTATACATTAGTGCCAAGGATTGAGGCTATTGGGTTTCCAACTTTTCGGCTTCTACTGTAAAACCCTAAAGGGTGCATGATAAGCTGTGAGATCTTCGGCTTCAGGTATGCCAGAGAATCACAAAGTCCCGAACCTGGATTTCAGAGCCCGTACCATCCCACCAGACCTGGAAAGCCTATTTCTAGCGCTTCCTGTGTGAGAGGCTCTTGATGTTGAAGGTTTCGGCCATGCGCCGTAGGATTCAGGAGTGCTGAAACCAGACCCTAAACCCTAAACCCTAAACCCTAAACCCTAAATACAAGACCACCACTTCCGCCCCGATTCCTCAAAGCTCTGGACCAGAAGGAGAAGAAGGACAAGAAGAAAAAGGACAAGCACCGACGGTCGTTTCTTCTTAGCATGCCTTATTGCTGTGTTTTCGACGTTTCTTCAGTCTCCCCTATTCCCCTAAACCCTAAACCCCCTTTGTCACTGTTTGCTTCGTGTGTAAGACTTAGGCATCGAGCCAGTCTCTTGCTGCACATGGCTGAAAAACTACGGGCCTACTTTAGAAGCCTGAATAACACCACTAGGGTTTAGGGTTTAGGGTTTAGGTACCAATACTATCCCTCAGCGCTCCTTATCATAACGAAACTATGAAGGAGCCCAAAGCCCTATTCTACTTTTTTAGGCCCCTTTGCAGCCTGCGGAGCCGCAGTGTCGAAACAAACCACAACAAGTCGAGCTGCACAGAGCCCTAAATTAAAGCCGAAACCGTAACTGGGTCCTTGTCGGATGCAACTTTACGACATGTTTGTGATAATCAAACCCAATAAGGATTAAACATGATGCTTTTAAATCTAGCCCCAACAAGGAGCCAGGTAATATGGGGGCCGAAGACGGAACCCCGAAATAGTATCAAACAAACCCCAGAAGGCCCTTAGCCCTAATTCACCCTCAGCGCCCATGTAACTGGGTTTAGGGTTTAGGGTTTAGGGTTTAGGGTTTAGGGTTTAGGGCATGTAACTCATATAGTATACACTTTGACCTTCAAGTAGTACCTACATAGAAGCTTGGTGGCCAAAGCATATACTATGGGTACATGAGCCCTTGAAACCAGAAACAGCTTGATCCCCAAGTCTGCAGAGTGCACTGCAGGACAGAAAGAAAGCTGCTTCTTCAGCATCCAGGTGCACCTCCAAAAGGGGTTGCTGGTGCTTCGTCTTTGCTGCTCTAGATTGCTGTTTGGGGCGTAAAGCTTTCGCTTGCAAAGCCTGACATTCAACTTGGATAACGGAATGCACACACGATCGATAATTACTTGTTGTAATACGAAAGGCAAGCAGCGCGGTTGTGTTGCAGCGATGGTAACGACCGGTTTCAAGCAACATGCCAGAAGGAGTTCCGCGGAAGTAGACATGCGAAGCCTTTACTACACACGACCCTAAAGCCCTAAACCCTAAACCCTAAACCCTAAATCCGAAACCCTAAACCCTAAAGCCTAAACCCTAAACCCTAAATCCGAAACCCGAACATGAAACTCTGAGCCTAAACCCCCAAAGCGATCCGAAACCCCGACTCAGCCCCGCCTGTAGGGTCATACCCTACCCCGATTTTAGGATACCTACTTTTCTTAGCAGCTCCTCGCCATAAGCTCATATGGTACCCTAATGAAGGAATAGAGTATCACCCTATAGTATGTATCAGTACATCCCGAACCCGGATCAATCGGAGTAGCATCTCGTCTCATGACAGGTCGTCCTCCGAGGTCAAGAAGAAAAAGAAGAAAGAAAAGGACGGGGTTTGGGCTTCGGGGTTTGGGTTTATAAGGTTTAGAATCAAGGGTTCAGGTATTTAGGGATAGGGGTTAAGGTTTAGGGATTTAGGGGCTTAGCTGTAGGGGTGACTGCGAGTTTAGGGTTCACAGGGTTCAACAAGAGCCCAGAGTAGCCAGGGCAGCTGACAGAGCCACATTCGGAAAGGGAAAGCAAGTTCCCCTTTTCCACGTCCTTCCTATCCTAGCAGCTCGGCTTCGGATTTGTAAATAGGGGGTTAGGGAAGCTGAACACCGAGCTGCTGCAGGAGAAGAAGGACAAAGAGAAGGACAAGGAGAAGGAGAAGAACAAGGCCCGGCGCGATTGTACTTTGATGACGGCCGCGAAGTCTGACAAAGGTATCACGAAACCTAACGTGCAAAGCCGCACATCCCAGACCTTAACTAAACCCCGAACCCCAGTACCTTGAGACAGGTTTAAGCCCGGTTTAAGCATTCAGGCATTCTTGGTCGACCCTGTCGCCTCCCGATCAGTCTGCCATCCGTCAACTTAGCCCATCGATGATTTGCCATCCTTACGACCACGACTACGACGACCACAACGACGACAAGCACGATGACGACAACCACAATGACGCTCACATCGACGACGACGACGATGCTCAACGACAACGACTGTTGAGGATAAAGGTTTGGGTTACGGTTTCGGTCTCGGTTATCACCACCACCACCGCCACCACCCACCACCACCCACCACCACTCACCACCACCAGCCACCACTCACCACCCCCACCACCACCCACCGCCATCCACCGTCACACCACCAGCCACCACCACACACCACCGCCACCGCCTTACTACTTCTGCGTACGATGTTGGCGGTTGACCTATTGCTGCCATGAGCGTCAGGATCGGGATCGCAAGAAGCGGTCGAAGAGCAGGAGGTCCCGAAGTAGCAGGCACCGGGTTGAGTTTAGGGCTTTAGGGTTTTGGGCTAAATACTGGGTTTTGTACTTAGGGTGTAGGGATGATTAGGCTCGGGCTTGTTGTTTCCACGGTAGCGTTGCGGGTATGCTTGTCGCCCTAGCTGTTTCCTATGAGTCGAATCTTAAGTTCCTTCCTATAGTTTCCATTCTACTTCCTTTTTTGGTTTAACCAGTTATCCAAAAAGGATTTAAGCAGGTATCCCCAAAAAGGGACTACAATGGA